TCTGCTTTATTGGGGCTCCAGGCCGCAATCTGATCTGGTGTTTGGTGCGATCGGTGGGCCCCTGCACGGACTCAAATAACCGGAGTTCGGTATCCAAGAACTGCCGGAAACGCTGGTCTTCCTCTGGTGAGCGTGGGGAGATTCCGGCGGACAGTTTGCCGTAGACAGACGCCACCTGGACCGGAGCCGTCCTCCCTGGTCGGTTGGATGGGGGAGGCGGCAGCGTAATGCGTAACCGAGCCCATAGGTCGACTCCGATTAGTACCTCGCTGCTGAGGTTATCCAGGACCTGGAAGCGGTGGCGGACAGAGCGAGGGCCGACTCGGATGGCGAAGCGGATCGAACCGGAGGTGGGTGCCTTGGAGCCGTCGGCTAAGTTGACCGGTTCTTCGGACGGCTGGATCTGGAGGCCGCGATCAGACAAGCGTTTGGCCATGGCGGCGTTCACAAACGACACTTCGGATCCGGAATCGAGAAGTGCCCAGGTGTTGAATCGGTGAATCTGGACTGGTAAATGCGGCCGCGGTGTGTACTCTATCTGGACGCGGGTCGGACGATGGCCGCCTCGTTTCCGACCCGCCGGTCGTTTTCCGTCGGAGGGTGGCAGTCTCGCGTTAGGACGCCATCCTTCCCGCACTGCGAGCAGAACTTCCGTGCTGGGCGGCGACAGTCGAGTCGTGTGTGCCCTCGCTGTTTGCATCGCCAACAGCAACTCGCACGGTCATAGGTAGTGGCGGCAAGATTCGCCTCGGTGGACCGTAATGTTTCGCGGCGTTGTTCTTGGCGACGCCGGTGGATTTCCTCCCACTCGGCGGCACGACTGCATAGCGCGGAAACGGAGTGCAGTTCGTCCAATCGAACGTATAGCTGGAGTTCCGGGTCGGCGTTTTCGTATAATTGCTCGAGCCGTTCCTGGCTAGTGTAGCCGCCAGCCCGACGCATCATTGTCTGTACGGCGGTAGCGTATCGCGTAAACGCCTCTCCTGGCTTCTGTCGCCGGCCTTGTATTTCCCGTCGTAATTGTCGTTTGTACCCGGGTGATAGATACTGGGCCAAGAAATCCTTTCGGAACCCGGCCCATGTGGACCACTGTTCTCTGGTGTTTCGCCACCACAGAAGGGCGTCGCCCTTTAACAGCTCGGACAGACCGGTGAGAAGATTGTGGTCTTCCAGACCATAGGCCACACTGAGTTCCTCCAGATGCTCGAGGAAAGCGAGGGGGTCCTTACCATCAAAATGGCATCCCCATTTGCGTATCTGGTTGAGGGCCTTAGCCGGGTCGGCTTCTGGTGGTTCGGGGGTTCCGCGTGCACTCCGGTAACGTTCTTCGCGGCTAAGCGGCGCGTGGAGCGTTTCGGCCGCTCCGGTGTTTGGCTGATTGGCCATTACGTGGTCTCTTATGCGGCGGCGGAGGTCGATTAATCTCCCTTCTGGGTCTAGATCGCGGGTGGCGAGGTATCGGACGGCTTCCTCTTTATCTAGGCGGTAGATCCACCCAAGCATGTGGATTGCAAACCGGAGTCTCAGACGGTCGAGTCAGGTCCCTGTTCGGGCGCCATGTAACGAAGCACCTTTCCCGACGCCACGGATCGGCTCGTCGGTGCCAGGATTCGGGAAGAGGGGAGACTCAGATTTACAATGACACACGGTTGCTCTGGTAAAAGTAGAGTTTATTCGGGGCCACCTTCCTGTGGTTCTCCCGTGATTCAAACCATTATACACAGCACAGTATAATCGGACGAAACGCGACCAGATGATACAGACGCGTACACGACTTATTGCTAGGATTGACAGATAGAAATATTACGGACGAGACGCGACCAGATTATACGGACGCGGACACGACTTATTGCTAGGATTGACGGATAGAAATATTACGGACGAGACGCGACCAGATTATACGGACGCGGACACGACTTATTGCTAGGATTGACGGAAAGAAATAACGGGAACGACCGAGATTATACGGACGCGGACACGACTTATTGCTAGAGTTTCCACGCGGACACGCGTACGGGCGCCCTGAGAAGGGCGAGCTCCGTCGGGCGCCGGTGACTTTTAGGTAGGACCCGGTGACCGAGGACGCTCGGCCTGCACGACGAGAACGCTCGTCGGCCGGGGTGATTTACGGACAGGACCCGGTGACCGAGAACGCTCGGCCTGCACGACGAGAACGCTCGTCGGCCGGGGTATTTACGGACAGGACCCGGTGACCGAGGACGGACACGAACGCTACGTCGCCGGGGTGCTTACGAAGCTGTTTACGACCCGGAGACCGAGCACGCTCGGCCTCACGCGAGAACGGTGTCGGCCGGGTGATTTACGGTGACGTGACCGAGGCCTCGGCCTGCAAGAAACACTCGTCGGCCGGGGTGAGTTACGGACAGGACCCGGTGACCGAGAACGCTCGGCCTGCACGACGAGAACGCTCGTCGGCCGGGGTGGTTTACGGACAGGACCCGGTGACCGAGGACGCTCGGCCTGCACGACGAGAACGCTCGTCGGCCGGGGTGAGTTACGGACAGGACCCGGTGACCGAGAACGCTCGGCCTGCACGACTGAGAACGCTCGTCGGCCGGGGTGATTTACGGACAGGACCCGGTGACCGAGGACGCTCGGCCTGCACGACGAGAACGCTCGTCGGCCGGGGTGTGTTACGACAGGACCCGGGACCGAGGAACGCTCGGCCTGCACGACGAGAACGCTCGTCGGCCGGGGTGAGTTACGGACAGGACCCGGTGACCGAGAACGCTCGGCCTGCACGACGAGAACGCTCGTCGAAGGGGTGATTTACGGACAGGTGACGAGGACGCTCGGCCTGCACGACGAGAACGCTCGTCGGCCGGGGTGAGTTACGACACACCCGGTGACCGAGAACGCTCGGCCTGCACGACGAGAACGCTCGTCGGCCGGGGTGAGTTGGAGTGTGGGAGTTGAGGAGTGATCTCCTGAGTACGCTCGAGGGACCAGGACGGGACTGGTGTCGAAGTCTCGGCTGCGCCGCTCTTTATACCCGTCGGCCACCCCACTCTAAGACTAGCTTGGAGGGGGCCGAGTGACGGGTGGGGGCAAAAGGCGGATTAACATATTTTGTGTGGTGGCCCCGAAAGGGGCCGTTTACATGAGCGCGGGCGACTAGTGACGGCTAATCGGGTCGTCACAACATATAAATATATAAACATATATACAGAGTGAGTAATAGAAAATTTATTACGTTCTTCTAAAAAGAAAAGGTTAAAGATAAAGGAAGATATAAAGAATAATATATATTACCAAAATTATAGGTTTAAAAATATCTATTTACAAATCTTATCACTTTGACCTTAAATGGTGTTGCCAAGGTCAAGACAAAACTTGAATTTTTTAAATAGAATCACCATACTTTTTTATACAAATCGATTTCTATAATATTCTGTATAAAAAGTTATAAGAGTAAAAAGGTCAAAAAGTGAATAGTTTACGATATTTCATATTTTAATTTGACATAATCTTACATAAATTATGAATATATATATATATATATATATATATATATTGTAAAATATTCATTTTTCAATAATCTTATCCTAATACTTTTATGTACAAAATGGCTTCTAGTTGAAAATTACATATTTTTTCTTAAAAACAATTATGTATTTTCTCTAGACTAATCGATTTTTCTCATTATTTTATTCATAAAAATATAATATTAAGATAAGATTATCAAAAAATGAATATTTTAAGAGAAATTTCACAGTTCATGTGTAAGATTATGTAAAATTAAAATATAAAATATTTTATAATCTATATATTCACTTTTTAATCATCCTACTCTTTTATAACTTCTTATACAGAATATTACAAGGAATCAATTTATAAAATAATAAAAATATATGATGATCTTATTTAAAAAATTCAAGATGTTTTTACTTTGACCTTGGCAACGTCATCCAAGATCAAAGTGATAAGATTTGTAAATCGATATTTTAAACCCTAATTTTGAAAATAGATATTTTCTATATCTTCCCTTATCTCTAATCGTTTTTGAAAAAAACGTGGTGGACTTTTTATCAGACTCATCCTGTATATGTATATATTCAGGATGTTCGATTTAATCGGTCTACACCAATATTTCGAAAAATATAGAAAATACGAAAAAAATGTTTTATACAAAAGTTTTATGACTTTAAGGGGGACAGACAGAATATCATTGGTTTGATCTTGCATAATCGTTTGAATCTTACGTGAAGGTCACTTTCAATTTCTTAAATGGAAACCCTTATTTTTTAATGCATATTCTTGTAGTTGCTTATTTCGAGAGCTTTCCAAAACACTATAATAAAATACTTTCTTCTTAAGTACTTTTTGAGATATAAAGCTTAAAGTTTACAATTTTTTAACATAAAACATAAAATATATATATATATCTTGTAAAATATTCAGTTTTCCGTAATCTTACTTTAATACTTTTATGCACAGAATAATGAGACCAATTAATTTATATAAAGAAAACAAATAAGTATTTAAAAAAAATGTAAGTAATTTGCCACTGCAGCTGCACACTTTTTTTTAATGCAACTATGTATTTTTTTACACTAATTGATTAGTTTCATTATTCTATGCATAAAAGTATTAAAGTAAAATTGCTGAAAACTGAATGTTTCACAAGATATTTTGTATTTTATGTAACTCAAGAAATATTTAAGAAAAAAATATTTTATTATATTGTTTTGGAAAGCTTTCGAGATAAGCTACAAGAATAAGTATTCAAAAATAGGACTTTCATTTAAAAAATAGAAGTTGATCTTCATGTGATCTTCAAACAATTATCCAAAATCAAACTAATGATACCATTTTTCGTTTCCCTTGAAGTTATAAAACTTTGGTATAAAACATTTATATTTTCAATATTTTTCGAAATATTAAATAGTATTATAAGAAATGAATAAAAATAAAAAGAATAATAATAAACAATTCATGAGTATAAGAAGGCATAAGATTGAATTGTAATTTACCGACTCTTGATGATGTATTCATTACATCACAAAACTCCACAAGCTCCGGTTCGATTAAATTGGTTCGTTCCATATTATATTTCCCAAAATTGAAGATTGTTGTATTACTCTGGATCTGTAGCTCGTAGGGCACATTGCCGTTATTATATCGTGAAATTTTAGGAGTACGAGCCTGCACTCCGTCTAAATGAATAATCTATAATATAAATTTTATATTAATTAAAAATATACAAATAATTAACTTATTGAATTAAAATCAAATTTGAAAAATTTCTTAAATAAATAACATAAGTGTATACATATATATATATATATATATATATATATATTTATTTATTTTTTATGTTCCTTTGGTATGTTTCTTTCGTAAAAAATTCGAAAATTTATATTTAAAAAATTCAAAATTTCATGAAAAATGATCACCAATCTTCATTAAATTTAATAGCAACCATTCTTTATTCTTTAATGATACTCTATTCAAGTAAAAGAATTTACCTCTGTTCGGAGTCCGTCCGAACTGTTATTCGGCATGATAGGCGCGTGATACTATACGACTCTCAAGCGTGAGCACGTCGTGATCTTCCCTGCGAGGCACGCTTGCCCCGTTTTTGGGTGAAATGCCTAAGCGCTCCGACCAGTCAGTCGTCCGAGAGACCCGAAAAGTTAACAAGCGAGTGATCCGCGATTACGAACCCTGGTGAATTTATTTTCTATAGTGACATTATTATTCAGTTTATAATCTTAATCAGGCTTTATTCTTACTTGTGTTTTATTCATTACTGTAAATTTACTCATTTTTTTTGTGCCAAAATAAAAACAAAGTTATACAGTCCATTATTTACTTGATTACGTGGCGTCCCACGAACAACCTCGATATGTCAAAATTTATAGAAGTTAGAACACAATCACAAACATTTATCGAAAAATTAAAATTGCATTAAAATTTAAAATACTATATAAATTTTAAAAATATTAAAAATTATTATAAATTTCTTCAGTTGCTATAACTACATAGATATAAGAGATAAATTAACTTACCACATTACCTTAAACATATTATTAATCGCTGTTCTGTCTCAATTAGCTTACGAACATATTGCCGGGTTATTCTAGGTACAATTGCAATAACTCTTCGCATTGAGTAACGATCATCCTGATGCATTTTCTTTTTTCCTTTGTGTATCTGTAGTACTAGAATGTATTGATTGTTTATTATATCTCTTTAAAGTATGTATATCAATAATTTTTTGCCCGATCTCATTATTTTTAAAATAATCTTTGTTTTCACTATCTGATGTTAAAATAATATCATTAGTAGATGTATTGAATTCAATCTTGCATTTATCTGAAATACAAATATAAATTAATGAAATAAAAGTAAAAATTTATAAAATAGAAGTAAAAATGAAAAATATCTTCAATAAATAATGTATTAAAAATAATATATATCTTTTACAAAAAATTAAGATAGCATGTTTTTTTTAATTTATTTTACAGATCAATATAGTGGACATAATATTATTATTATTAATATGATTAATAATAAATACCTTGTGAATCAATATTTTTTTGTCGCTCTCATCACTTATAAGATCTTCATTATTGTTTGTGGGGTCTAATGTATCTAAATTTTCATTTGTAGATACTATGTCAAATGTAAGTTCACGCTTTTCTGAAATAAATAGAAGTTAATAAAATAAAAATAAAAACAAGAAGCAATAAGAATGAAACATTAATATTAGAAAATATTCAATAATTATATTGCAAAAAATTCAGAGGTCACATTAAATTAGGTTAATAATAGTTAATTGTAGATGTACCTTCAATCTCTAAATCTGTCATATTTGATGTAAATAATACTGGTGCATTTTATATTAGATATGGTGCTATATTAAGTACATCAGGATCAATTTTTGCTTCAGTTTCTTCTGGTCCTCCACCAGTTGCTAAACGCGATTGTTTTTCTTTAGTTAATACATCTCTCTGCGACTGCTTTAGATTTGGCCACAATTTTTTCAATTGTTGAAGTTCTCTATAATCAAAATATTGTGTAATATAATAAAGCGTATATTATTATCTGCTATATTAGGCCCTTCGCATAATCAAAAATATAAAGTTCTTACTTCTTGAGAGATTAGTGTCGATTGATTGTATTCTTTACATACTTCACTCCATGCAAGGTCTTTATCTTTTAATGTTGTGCCGTCGCTTTTTTTTTATTTCTATTACATGTTTTTCTAGTATTTGTAAGAATAATTTCCTTTCCATCAATGAATAGTGTTTGTTTTTGCTTGTAGGCTTCTCTTTGCAAGACATTCTGTAAAAAATATATATTTAATATCTACTAAAGTTTAATTTTACTCAATAAGATTCAAATATCGTCGTTCATTAATTACAAATATTTCAAACCTGTATATTTCTCGATGATTTTTTTCAATGAAGATTGAAAATTGAAGCGATGAAACACATCCGTACGAACGCAAGATAACAGCACACAAGAATACGTATATTGCATGTCTGCATGTATCATATGTGTCTCCGATGCAATGTTTCTATTGGAGGAAATGCTATGTTCCTATTGGAGGAATAATAGTAATATTACGAAAATAGCCGATTCGCGCGCGCGAAAATAAGCACAGGCTTAAGTATGTCTTCATCAAGTCAGTCTCAAATTAAATAAGATTTACTTGAGTGTTAACTTCTTCACGAAGATTGTCTTATTTCACGGCTATGAAATCTATGACGATTATGAAATCTATTAATCTTAAGACGATCTAGATTGAATAAAATAGACTTGATCATAATCATCTTATGTGTTAATTTGAGACTCGACTATGAATACGGGCCTTTGTCCCAACATTCCCAACCAGTCCAACCTCTTTTGACGACATCTTCGACAATCTCAGTTTGGGAAGAATTTGATATCACAATAAGCCACCTTCAAGGAATGCACAATCCCTCTACTGCAGCAATTATAGAGTTAGACAAATATTTGGCCGAACTCCACATTACCAGGACAAACGATCCTCTAATTTGGTGGGAAGCAAGAAAAAATCTATACCCAAATTTATATAAAATAATGCTCAAAAGGCTCTGCATCCCTGCAACTTCGGTCCCATGTGAAAGAATATTTTTTAAAGCGGGACAAATTTGTAATGAAAAAAGCCGATTAACAACAAAAAAATTAATCAAATTTTAGTTGTGCAACATAATGTTAATTTATTATAATTAATATATTAATAATAATAATAAAAATATATATAATAAAAAAAACAATTTTTTTGTATTTCCCAAACATTCATGATTTATATTAAGCTTAAATAAGCGAATATAAAAGATTTTTTGTACGAGAATAAATTTAAAAAAGATAAAGAATAATTATTTATAAAGAACCGATGAATCGTATAAAAGAACCGATTTACTTAAGAGAACGAACCGACTCTGAACCGCTAACCAAGGTGAACCGTCTTGTCTTTCTCTAAGTTAGATGAATGAAAAAGAAGTTAAATAAAGTAAAATTAGAATCCCTCAGGTTGAAATATTATTGAGTTATGGCGAAGTAAAATCTTTGATAGAATGTGCGAGCAATAAATAAACCCAGTAAATTAGAAATTTACATAACAGAAAGTGATTATATTGCCCACATCAAGGAGTCACATGTAAGGGGGGAAAATTTAAAATATATATTTTATTTTATATATTAATAAACTTTTTGTTTTCTTTCTCTCTTTTTGCTGTCACTATCGTAATCAACCTTAAAAGGCTAATTGCAAAAACTTCATACGTAACAACCAAAATTTATTAATAACTAAAAACGGATGGCAAGCCATAGTAATAATGAATAAAAGTGACTACCTTTTAAAAATGAGCTCCTTGTTGGATGATCGAACCACTTATAAAAAATTAGACAAAAATCCTATTAAAAAAATTAACAAATAAAATTAATTCTTTGGTGCAATAAGTCTTGGCGCGATAATAATGTAATTGACGAATCAACGTATAAGGTATTAAATAATACAAATGGAAATCTCCCTCAATGCTACGGGCTGCCGAAGATACATAAAACTGGCGTTCCTCTCCGAATTATTGTATCTGCACTTGGCAGTCCTGTATACAATATTGCACAGTACATACATAAAATTCTACACAATACTATAGAAAAACCGAAATCGCATATAAAAGACGGTTGGTCATTTGCAAAAAAAGTAAAAAATATGATCATTAATGACGACAAAGTTTTAGTTTCATTAGATGTAACATCATTATACACCAACATCCTTAAAGAACTTGTAATTGAGGCGATTAAAAAGAGATGGAACACAATCTCACAGAATACCACATTGAATTTGTCACAGCTTACATTCGCAATAGAAACTATATAAGATTCCACATTTAGTTTTAATGGCCACTTTTATGAACAAGTTTTCGGCAGCCCGATGGGTTCTCCATTGTCACCCATTTTGGCAGATATTGTCATGGACGATTTAGAAACCTTTTGTTTAAATTCATTGACTTTTAATGTACCGGTGTACTATAGATACGTTGACGACATCTTCACGATTTTACCACGCTCTAAGGTTAATGAAATGTTATCAGTTTTTAATGCGTACCACCATCGCCTAAAATTTACTTATGAAATTGAAAAAGACAATTGTTTAAACTTTCTTGACACGAGTATCATCAGATGTAATGATAGGAGTCTAATCACTAATTGGTATAGGAAACCCACTTTTTCGGGAAGATATATCAATTTTCTTTCCCACTCAAATATAAAATTAATTGCATTAACAACTTGGTCAATAGAGCCATTCTATTGTCTGACAATAAATTTCACATTGACAATATTCAAATTATTAAAGATATTCTAACCAATAATAATTTTCCATCTCATGATATTAAAAAACAAATTAAAAAAAGATTACATGTAATTAATAATATTAATAATAGTTTTGACAACAAGAGAGATGAAAATAACAATAAAAAATTTGACATGTTTTTTCATATTGTGTTACCGTATATCAATAATCTGACTGATAACATTTCTAAAACTCTGAAGAAAAAAGGATTAAAAATAATTTATAAAAGATTCCAAAAAATTAAACACGCTAATTAAACGCGGTAAAGATGTATTACCGAAAATGAACAAAACGAATGTAGTATACAGACTAGAATGTAATGATTGTGACGCGTCGTATATAGGACAAACAAAAAGACATTTTATTTACTTTATTTATAGATTATTGATATATACATATAATTATTGATTACTAGAGTAAAAGAACATCAGAATAATATAAAGACATGAAACAAGCCACTCGGTGCTCAGTAAACATAAAACCGATTGCAATCATGACTTCCGATGGCTTGAATCATCAATATTTTACATACCGAGAAAAATAGACGAAAAAGAGAGATCGCTGAAATGTTCTATATAAAAAGACAAACATAAAATTAATTTACAAATAGACACTGATAACCTTAGTCCTATTTATGACAACATTATTCAAATGATTTAAAAAACATAATACCAGTCTACAGTAGCTAACTTGTCGATATGACAGGACAACTTTCGTGTTTCTATTTTTAATTATATAATTGCTGAATAAGAATAAGTATTAAGATATAAGACAGGCAGTAAGAGCCAACTCGCGGATGACAGTGCGTTATCCTAACGAAACTAAATTTTTCGTTAGGATTAAGTATCTGTGCATAAGGCACCAAATATTTTACTTGGTCACGGCCAAGATTTAAAATATGAAATAATCTCATATTTGAGATTTAATTTCAATAACCCTTTCACCCCCCTACGGAAATAAGTAAATGCAAGAGAAAAATATAGATCCGAAAGTCGCTGAATCGGGAAACGAACCCGAGACCTTTCGCTTGCCGGGCGACTGCTCTTCCAACTGAGCTATTCAGATCCTTTCGATTCTATACTTTTCTCTGCTATATGTAATAATGTTGGTAAACAAACGCGTTTTTAAGCCAGCGTGTATATAAATTAAGAGTTTAACAAGGCTCTGTAATATAAATATAAATTTTAAGATATAAGACAGGCAGTAAGAGCCAACTCGCGGATGACAGTGCGTTATCCTAACGAAACTAAATTTTTCGTTAGGATTAAGTATCTGTGCACAAGGCACCAAATATTTTACTTGGTCACGGCCAAGATTTAAAATATGAAATAATCTCATATTTGAGATTTAATTTCAATTTCGGGAATTCCCGATTCAGCGACTTTCGGATCTATATTTTTCTCTTGCATTTACTTATTTCCGTAGGGGGGTGAAAGGGTTATTGAAATTAAATCTCAAATATGAGATTATTTCATAT